GGTTAGATAGCTGGAAACCCACACAAGACTTCCTGCAGAAGCAAGCTTAGAGGCTGCTCCAGACTGGACACAGTTTGAGTGTGTTCTCTGAGGGGTCCTGTGTTGGGCGCTTGGCCCTCAGGTGACAATGTTGGGAAGGGGTGAGACCTTTATGAGGGGAGAACCTAGGGAGAAGTTGCCTGACTGGCACCTCCTCCTTTGCTACGCCTCCCTATCCTAGCTGTGTGATCATCTTCTAGCTCGCTGTTCTGTCCTTGGCACACCCTCTGCCATCTGTGGTCCAAGGGACTCTGGTCAAATTTGGCACTCTGCTGCTTAGACTGTCACCCTCCAGACTGTGAGCTAAAGAAACCTCCTCTTTATAAGGATCCTGCCTCAGTCACCATCATGAAACAGACTGTCTCAGAAGCCCATTACAGAGGTTCCAGGCTTGGTGGAAGGTCTAAGGATTCTTACCTACTGATCACGGTATAGACCGTGTACTTCACCGGGAGCTCCAGCTGGAAGGTAGTCTTGTTGGTTTCAGGCTTATTATTCTCACTGGGGAAAAAGAGAGGAAGACGAATGTGAAGGGATCCAGGAAACGGATACCCAGCTGGGACATAAAATTGGACTAGGAGTGATGTACCATACTTCTCCTGGGCTCACCTGCTTGCGCTGGCCCTCAGAAGCAGCCTGTCCCCCAGGAAGGCCTTGTAGGAGACATCAAAAGTGATCATGAAGGTGGCCTGAGGGGAAAACAAAAGAAGACATGGAAATGGAGAGGCTCATGGGAAAGAGGCTCATGGAAATGGAGAGGCTCATGGGAAAGTAGGGGAAGGCCAGTGCTGAAGATTGGGGGAGGGGCGGATAGCACTGACCTTTGCACCTTCTCGGAAGATGGGGTGATTGATGCTACAGCTGCTGCTCCTCAGGCTCTCCTGGCCCATGGGGGGCTCGGCCTCACATGCCAGGCGTAGCGGGTACTGATGAGGTTGCTTACAGGAGAGGAGATGAGTTCGAGTTATTGCATTAGTTGCCTTCCTGCTGCTATGCTAAGAAAAAAAGTCTATGGCCAAGGCAACTTAAATGTAGAAGAGTTTACTTGGCACAGTTCCAGAGGGAATCGAGTCCACCATGGCGGGGAGGCATGGTGGCCAGAGCACAAACTGAGGCTCACAACCTCAACCATGGTATAAAGCTTCAAGCATAAGCTGCAAGCAGCCAAAAGCTTTTGCTCTTGTCCCCGACCCAGCAGTGGTGCACTTCATCCAGCAAGGCTGCAGCCCCTAACCTCCCAGACAGTGCCACCAACTGAGGACCAAGTATTAAAACTCTTAAGACTATGGTGTGGGGGGTGGCAAACCAACATAGTTAGCCATATATGTATAGATAGGACTGGTGTATGACAGCAGTGGCATTGCCGAACAGTTGGGGGATAACATATTTCTCAGTAAATGACACCAAGAAAAATCATCCCATATTGAAAAATAAAAGTACAAAAAAAAATGAAATTGGATCCGAATCTTATTTTATGCATTAAAATAAACTCTAGTACTTTAAAAGACTTATCGGTTCAAAAGTAAAATTATATCCCACCCCCGTGTGTGCTAAAGTGTGTGCTCGTGTGTGTGTGTGTGTGTGTGTGTGTGTGTGAGGGGGGGGAGAGTCAGAAGCCTTGGGGATTGAGCTCAGGTCATCAATCTTGGCGTTAAATGCCCTTAACCACTTTTTCTGGGCTGAGGATGTTATATAATTGTTTCATGGTTGACTCCTAGAACCTCATAAATTGGGCATAATAGCATATGCCTGTAACCCTCAACTTCAGAAGTTCAAAGTCAGCCTGGGACCATGACACCTTGCCATCACTGAGTTCCTGATAGGTGTCAGATCTTGCTGGAGTTGGCAGGAACAAGGAGACAGAGTGGATACAGGAAGGGAGGCAGTGACCCTTGGTGTATATGTCTGGGAGAAAGTATGATCTTGGGGAGGGGGACAAAAAGCAGAGGCCTAAGGTCTATGGGCAGGTGGGAAGACACACACTGGGGGCAATGGGATGTGACAGTATTTCTTAAACAAGATTCATATACAAAAATACTAAGAATAAAGGAAAAGATTGAGAAACTCAATTCTAGTTGAATGAAGACAACCTTTATTGTGTTAAGACACAGTACAGAGACTGAAAACACTATCACATCACTAGAATAGGACCATTAGCATATGTAAAGACCTCTTGCAAATCAGCGTTTGAGACTGGGTCTCTCTAGGTAATTTGGAATGGCCTAGAACTCACCATATAGACCAGGCTAGCCTCAAACTCACAGGGATCCTTTTGCCTCTGCCTCCCAAGAGTTCTGACATTAAGGGTGATTGCCACAACACCCAGGTTTCTTTGTTACTATTTTTTAATAGACAGGATCTCACTATGTAGCTGTGATTGGCCTGGAAGTCATTATGTAAACTAGACTGACTTCAAACTCGCAGAGATCTGCCTGTCTCTGCCTTGTAAGTACTGGAATTAAAGGCACGTGCCACTGTGCTGGCCAATGTTTTAAATACAAGAAAGAACAGAAAAAAATATGTAGATAGACACATCCCAAAGGATCATAAAATATATGTAAAGTCTCTAGAATATTCCAAACAAAAGCTACAAGGAAATACAGAGATGACATCGACAGCTGAAAAGTCAGACAGACAGACAGACAGACAGACAGATCCTCTCATGTGCTGCTCACAGAGTGTAAATAGGTTAAAAACACTTCTAAAAGTGGTAAAGCTATAGAATCCATGTGTGATATAAACCTTCCAGACTGTCATCCACTGTACACCAGGATACCAGTTCAAGAACAGTCGTGGCTCAAATCGGGAAAGCAGCCATCAGTTGCAGAACAGATAAACTGTGGGCATATTCATACAGAGGTCTCATATAGCAACGAAACTGTTCTACTATTGTGTTAATGTTTAAATGGCATCTGTTTGTATACTTTGTCCTCAGTGATGGTGCTGTGTTTGGGTGTTGTAGAATGCTGGGGGTAATACAACCTAGCTGGATGACACAGGTTATTCTGAATGGGTCTTGAGGCATCCAGCGTCCTGCCTGAGCTCTGAGGCATAACTGGCTCTCTTATACACCACAGAGGCTGCAGCCACTGTGCCTCTCCTACTATGTACAGACCTTACCTTCTGCGATGGGTGCTAATCATGGTTGCCAACTTGATTACATCTGGAATCAACTAAACCTCAAGCTGATGGGCACATCTGTGATGGGATTTTCTTAATATGATTGAGGTAGGAAGTCCCACCATAAATCTGAGACACACCTCTAGTGTCAATTGACAGAAAGGGACATTGAAGGAGACTGCTCTTTTTCTGCTTGCCTTCACTCCAGTGTAATAGGCCCTGAGACCTTTGCACAACTGACAACATGTTAATGGCAACATTTTAACCTGAAAACCTAGCACATAGGTCCCAACACCTGCCCAAACCAGAACAAAGGGCTGATCCATCGAAGACCTGGTGCATAGTTTCAGGGTCCAGAAAGATCTCTAGATGCACTAACCTTGCTTTATGGCTCCTGTAGTTTGCTTCTTTGCTAGCTATTCTTGACAACCAGAGTGTGTTAGCCAGGATGTGGGTTTTGTTCACAAAAGACAAAAAACCAACCAACCAAACAAACAAAAAAAAAAAAAAAAAAAAAACAGTAACCCCCAGGGCTGCATGATTTTGGCAACATCCTTACACAGCCACCAGTCGACAATACAGACTTCCTTTTCAGCTTTAAGAGTGTCAGTATGCTCTCTAGTGGAATTACCTCACAGCACTAACTAGCAAGTTCATCTACCCTGTTGCTGTGACTAGTGCTAAACCCATCTTTTCCAGGATTCCAGAACAGACTGGAGGCCAGGAGCTCTCTAAGGAGTCCTCCAGGACACCAGCACCAGATTGAGATTCCTGAGATATCACTTTCATGACTGAAATTCCCATATTCTCTGCCTCGCTGTCCAGAGTCAGCCATTGCTGGACTTCCCAGACAACACCCTAGAAGCTAATCTAATACACCCCCTTTAATATATATTCACTATATCAGGGTCATTTTTATATATTCATTATATCAGGGTCATTTCTTTAAAAACCCTGACCGGCACACCTTCTAAACTGTGAGCCAAGTATGCCTCCCTCTCTTAGGTTGTCTACATGCAGCAACATGAATGAATCTCCCAAACAATGCTGAAGGGAAGGGTTAAGACACAGAAGAGCATACACAACGTGCTTCCAGTCACATGCAGTTTAAGCACCGGCAAAACTGAACAGCATGATGTAGGGACACGCTCATGGATGGCAAACCTACAAATACCTGGAAATGATTAGCAAGGAGTTAAAAATACGATTATCTTAGGAGACAGAGTGGGGCTATACATAGGGAAAGATACAGAGTCGGGGGGGGCCTTTGAGAATACTGGTAGTTTTTTTTTAACTTTTGACTAGGTACTAATTTATGGATATTTGCTCAGTATCATTTATTAATTGATACATACCTTTATCTGTGTACTTTTCTATTATCTATGATGATATTTCATACCACACATGTGGTAGAAGGAAACAGGAGATTATAGGGCAGGGGAGAAGCATCTTGGTTTGAAATGGCCTGAGGATTGCAAGATTTTGTGTGTGAAGTTTCTATGTGTGAGTGGACACAGTCCCTATTGTGAGCTAGTAAGAAGGCAGAAACTTAACCAGACTGTGGCATTTAAAAGTGGAGTCTTCTCTCTCTCTCTCTCTCTCTCTCTCTCTCTCTCTCTCTCTCTCTCT